GCCATCTCAAAGGTGCTTGGGCCCTCCCCAACTGTCAGCATCTCAGATGTGCTCTGCCCCTCGGTGGCAGTGGCCATTCCAGAGGTACTCGGGCCCTCGGCAACGATGAGCATCCCAGAGGTGCTCGGGTTCTCGGCCGCAGTGGCCATTCCAGAGGTGCTCGGGCCCTCCCCTGAATTGCGCCGCACAGAGGTGCTCGGGACCTCACCGCGGGTGGGCGGCTCCGAGGCGCCAGGTCCCTCAGAGTCAGTGGGCGGCACCGAGGTGATCGGGCCCTCACCAGAGGAGGGCAGCACAGAGGTGCTCTGGCCCTTACTGGAGGGGGGAGGCACGGAGATGCCTAGTCCATCAGAGGTGGTGGGCAGCACAGAGGTGCTCGGGCCTTCACCGGATGGGGGCAGCACAGAGGTGTCAGGTCCCTCAGAGGTGGTGGGCGGCACAGAGGTGCTCGGGCCTTCACCGGATGGGGGCGGCACGTTGATGCCCGGTCCCTCGGAGAGGGTGGGCGGCATGAGATTGCTCAGTCCCTCACTGGAGGTGGGCGGCACAGAGATGCCCAGTCCCTCAGAGACGGTGGTCAGCACGGAGGTGCTGGGGCCCTCAGCGGGGGTGGGCGACACGGAGATGCCCAGTCCCTCAGCGGTGGTGGTCAGCACAGAAGTGCTTGGGCCCTCATCGGAGAGGGGTAGCTCGGAGGTGTTCAGCCCCTCAGTGACAGTGGGCTGCTCAGAGACGCTTGAGCCCTCAGAAGCAGAGGGTGACACAGGGGGGCTTAGGCCCTCATAGGCGTTGATCAATACGGCTGTGTTCAGTCCCTCAGAGACCGCAGGAGGCCCAGAGGTGCTTGGGCCCTCAATGGGGGTGGGCAGCTCTGAGGTGTTCGGCCCCTCGGAGACGGTGGGCTGCTCGGAGGCAATTGAGCCCTCAGAGACGGTGGGCGGCTCAGAGGTGGTTGGGCCCTCATCAGGGGTGGGCGGCACGGAGGTGCCTGGGTCCTCAGAGGCGCAGAGACCCTGGAGGGTCTCCAGATCGCTGGGACCCTGGGGGACGTCTGGGCCTGGCATAGCAGCGGAGAAACTGGGGGCGTCAGGGGCCTGCATTTCACCCCAGCTGCTGTTCTGCGCAGTGGCCTTTGCACTGCGGCGGCGGCGGCGGCGCGAATTCTGGCTTACCAGCGACATGGTCCTGCCGACCGGCGTATGGGAGCAGACACCGACAGGCCGGCGATCTAGCAGAAAGAGGACGGCACAGTGGCAATGCTGCTGCTGCGGCTGCTGCCAAAACCAAAGTCCCAAGCAACTTACTGGAGCTGAAATCAGAGGTGGTGAGAAAGGAGGCAGGTACTGGCCAACAGCGAACGCTAGTCTCAGTATATACTCTGCTTGTCACACCCCGCCTTCTGCCGCAGTCCGCGCAGGCGCAGTCGGGCTCTGCGACAAGGCGACCCCGCCCAGCCCAGCCCCTCCCCTGGGTCTGAGAAAGTGGTTGCGGTGATTCTGCACCAAAGCAGCGCAGTAGCAGGAGGGAGGCTTTGGTAGACTGAGACAAGGAGCTTGGAGCAGATGGATAGAGAATAAAAACAGAGGCAATACTAGCTGCTTCTCAGAATTAGGGTATGGATTAGAGGGCTTCTACACACAGTGCCAGGTTTAATAGATTCTCGAATTTGGTAGCTAATATCCTTGGGAATTGCCCTTTCCCCAAAACCATTTCAGAGAAAAATGTTCATAGTTTCTGGAAGGGTGCAGTCATCATCATCCCTGCCCCTGTATCCTCTATCACTTTATCCATTTAGGTCTCTAAACACTCTCCTACTTCTGTGAGCTAAGAAGAACTCTTCTCCAGAGGGTCTGAAGGCCCAGGATTTAGTCTTAATCAAGAAGCCTGAAACAAGCTTGAAAATTTCACTATTGCCAGCCCCAACACTAACCTGTACAGATAATTACAACCTGCCTTGGGAAAGCCACTAAAATTCCAAGATTTGTGTAATCCCCTTACTCCCAAGTCACTGGCCCATTTAATAGAGCTGTTGTCGGGGTCAATTGAGATACAATCATTAGCACTGTGATATTAAATTTCATAATGAAAACTAGTTAAATCCTTGTACATATAGCTTATGATTTCCTTAGAATATATTTTCAGAGGTAGAATTGCTAGCTTATAAGATTTGATCAGTGTCAGAGCCATTAGAAATCACTGGAATATTTGCTTCTGAGGCTTAGAAATAGCCCAGACTTTTTGGTCTTTCCTCTCAAATAGGTATCTGGGCATAATCAGTGTTAATGATTGTTACCTACTCTGTTTTACTCTATTTCTCTAGCATTTTTAAATTTCTTCTAATTAGTTATACATGATAGTATAGTGTATTTTGACATAGTATACTTATATGGAGTATAACTTCTCATTCCTCTGGTAGAACATGATGCAGAATTACATTGTGTAATCATATATGCACATAGGATAGTAATGTCCAATTCCCTTCATTCCCCTTTGTCGAATCCAAAGAACTTACTCTAGCACTTTTGAGAAAAATCCAATCTTGACTCCCTAGTTTATTCATTCAATAAGCACTGTAAGAGTGGGAGTCAGTCAAAAAACAAGTGAAGTAAATTTTTCTAGAAGTTTGTACCAAGTATAGTGGATCTACCTGTAGATCCAGAAAAAGCTTCATAGAAGAGTTGGTGTTTAAAGGTGAATGGGTAGATATATACCAAAAGGACAAGGATAAGAAAAGCATTCCAACTGAAAATAGTACAGTAGTAATAAGCTAGGAGGAAGAGAGTGGAGTGCAGAGATAGGTCCTTCTAGAGGAAAGAGGGAGGAAGGGGGGAGAGAGAGAGCAGGAGTGCCCATTAGAGCATGTTTACCATTGTTGACTCTCTACCAATGTGTTTATACCTTGCTCCAAACATTTACAACTATGTGGTCTTTCTTAATGTCTCCACAACAAACTGGGAGTTGACTTTCTTTACGCTTGTTTGGGGAGGGAAAACAACTGGCTGCAGCCACAAAATGTCAGCACATCTGTCTCCAACTTGTGAAAGCAGTCCGCCTATGCCATGCATCTAATTTCAATTCTGGAAGTCAAATGCAGATATTATGCCCAGATACCCATTTAGAGAGGAATGACCAAAAAATCTGGGCTATTTCTAAGCCTCAGAAGCAAATATTCTAGTGATTTCTAATGGCTCTGACACTGATCAAATCTTATAAGCTAGCAATTCTACCTCTGAAAATAGATTCTAAGGAAATCATAAGCTATATGTACAAGGATTTAACTAGTTTTCATTATGAAATTTAATATACCATAACTGAAAACTATATGGATGTTAAATTAATTATTTAAACAAATCACAGTACTGAAAAATTAAATAAAAATAAGTCTTTATGATGATGTTGAATAGTTCCATTTCTGGTAAAGGAAACTCATTTAGGACCTGCCAAAAAGCAACTAGAAATTTTTGGGAAAGAAACTAAAGGCATCATAAACTACCAAGAGAGTTGGGGATGTAGCTCAGTGGTAGAGTGCTTGCCTAGTACAAGTTCAATCCCCAGCACCACACAACACACACACACACAAACACACACACACACACACACACACACATACAGGCACACACACAAACTACCAGGACAGCACCAGAAATCTATCAAGGCAATGAAATCTTGAAAAGTCATGATCTCAGAAGAAAAAAGGATGTGCAAAGTGATGAGCCTTACATTGCATGTAATTTTGTCACTCAATGAATTTTATGATTTCCAAGCTGACAATTTGGAAGTCTAAACCTATTGAAATCACCCATCAAAAATGAAAATGCAAAAAAACAATTAGCTGGACATGGTGATACTCCCAGCTACTTGGGAGACTGAGGTGGGAGGATCACTTGGAGGTTGAGATCAGCCTGGGCAACATTGCAAGACCCTGCCTCAAAAAAAAAAAAAAAAGAAGAAGAAATTTCCAGAAGACAAACTTGAATATTTTGATGATTGAAAAGCCCACACTAAAGGAAATACTGAAAGGATAGGTTCCCATATGAAAATGAAGAGATGCCAGAAGTGAACCATTAGAGAAAGGATAAATGTGTGGGGTAATATACATATTGACATTGTAAAATAATGATAATCATATGTGATTTAAGTTATATGTAGAATGAAAATAGGTGAAATTGTAGTGATTTCAAGGGACTTGGTGACTCAACAAGGACAAAGATATGAATACAAGGTGGCAGAAGCACTAGAGTTTTATTTGTTCAACCCTTTGACCAGGTTTGCAAGGAGTTAGAGGTGGATGCTCATTAAAGCCTGAGACCTACTAGAGGCTGGTTGCAGGACACCATTCACAAGTGGAGAGGAGAATCCCAGAGAAAAGTTATATATCTATGTGATGTCTCAGAGCCACAGCAGGGAGTCTCTGGGTCTAAAGAAGGGCTGTAGAGTAGGATTTTGTTTTACTTCCCCCAGGTTATCACCTATGGCTAGCAGATGGATAGTTTCACAGTGACATGTAAACCAGGCAGTCTCTAAATGGCTAAAAAGCTGTTTGGGGCTCTGTTTAAAATGATTGGTTAAAAATTGAGTTTGGGTACCAGCAGAATTATGAACAGACCTTACCTGTTTGAAGAAGTAAATATCATAGAGGCTAATACACACAGGTTAGCTTTGACTTATGTATATAACAATTTATCCCCTGGCCTCATGTTACTTTACAATTTAAGAAGTATGTTATTTTGTAATTCCTGAGTTTGGAGCCTGTAATAAAGCCGACAAAATTCCTATAAAGGCACAAAGTAGGATTTTAAAATCCTTTCACAGCCAATCTGCCCACTTAGTAGGAAAAAGACAGGAAAATAGGTCAGAAAAGGTGGATTTTGATTTGTTCAGTTGTTTAGTCAATGATGGTCCCTGGCTATCTCTAACACTTGGCATTACCTGCTACATATAGCAAGATGTGCTAAGCTACACCAACTCCTCTGTCAGCAGCCAGTAAGTAATCTAGGCCGATAATTATCTACCATCGCAGACCATAAATAATGATGAGATTCTGCCAGGTTCCAATCCTTGGACTGTTTAATTAGAATGGATAACTCCTTAAACACAGCTATTTGTATATCTTTTATGGTATCCAGCACTTGTGCTATTCCTATTGCACCCCAAATTTGTGATCCTATGACAGTTAGTACCATAGAGTCTAGTAGGAAACTCATTTGCAGAGTTGGAAAGTTGTAGAAAGCAAGTTTGTGGGGGCAAGTACTTCCACTGAGTATTATGTAAAACTTGCAGTTGGTATTGCAAGAAGATTAGGTTCTAGAAGAACTGTCAAGCTAATTGTAGTCCCTGACTTTTTAGATATGCTTGACTCAGCTAATATTAGGTAGTATACATTGTTTTACCATGTGCCTAGTAATTAGCAAACAGGAAGGAAGTCCATGGTAAGTCCATGGGATTCCATTGGTGAATAAAAATGTACTAGACTGGGAGCTGGGGTTGTGGCTCAGTGGTAGAGCACTAGCCTCGCATGCATGAGGCCTTGAGTTCGATCCTCAGCACCACATAAAAATAAAAAAAAAATAAAGATTAAATAAATGTACTAGACTTTTGAGCCAAACTTAAGTATGGGAAATATTGTCAAGGGGTGGGAGGAGCTTGTGATAGAGGAAATAATTTTATTTCCTTAGCAGCTTGCTTGGCACCCTCTCCTGCCAGTATTCTCTGTTTTCCTATGAAGATAAGTTTTGTATGGCTTAGTTCAATTCCAGCTGATGCTAATCAGAACATAAAATGTCATATTCAGACAAGCATGCATGCTATCCACTCTGAATTCTGTACATGGATCAACTAAATTGATTGTGGGCCCAAAACATCAATGCCCACATATTTGTTTCTGGATACTATTGTTGGATGTCAGTAATTAGGGAACCGGCTTATCTTGATAAGTGAGGTTTATGGGGGAGCTTTTCCAGGAGAGAGGTATTAAGCCATCTGTACTATAATCAGGTTGAGAGAAGCAACATGTCAGTTAAATTTGCTATCATCTATTGCTGTGACCAAAGCCATATGCAGGTTTGGAAAATTAAATGTTCCTTCTTGTACTGATTAGTGTGCATTAGTGACTGAGTTTCCCGATAATTACCAATAGTAAGTAGCATCAATGTTTTCATGAGTCTGGAATAAGCTTTGCAGGAGCTCTTAGCATTTTGAAAAAAAAAGTTGTTGATTTAACCAGAGAACTGCAGTACAGTAGTCACACATGGGGTCCTCAAAGGTGGGTCAAGTTATTTTAAAAATGAACATCCATTGTATCATACATTTGGTCCATTTCTGTTTCTGTTTATCATGTTGTTATATTTTAGGTTAGGAGGTAGACCACTTGCTCCATCATTTCCAGTCCCAGGGAAACTTTTCT